TTTGTGATAGAAATGTTGCTAGAGATCACATGATAGAATTTTGTGAGACCAACAACTTATTCATTGCAAATACCTTTTTTCAACAACAGAAATGGTGGGTATACATACTTACTTCACCATACGGAGTACACAGGAATCAGGTTAACTACATCTGTGGCAAGAGGTGATGGAGAAACTCAGTATCTTCAACCTAAACAAGGTCAGGAGCTGACTGTGGAACAGACCATCAGCTGCTCAAATGCAAGTTCAAGTTGAAGCTGAAGACAATTAAAAGAAGTCCACGAGAGCCAAGATATTATCTTGATTATATCCCTCCTGAACTTAGAGACCATCTAACAAATAGATTTGATGCATTGAACACCAGTGACCGAAAACGATAATTGTGGGATGACATCAAGAACATTATCCATGAAGAAAGCCAAAGGTCATTAAAAAGACAGGAAAGGAAGAAAAGACCAAGATGAATGTCAGAAGAGACTCTGAAACTTGCCCTTGAAAGGAGAGTAGCTAAAGTGAATGGAAGAATCGACAAGATAAAAGAGAAGAACAGAAGATTTCAAAGCGCAAAGTCAAAGAAGACAGAGGCAGTTTTTATAATGAAATGTGCAAAGACCTGGAGTTGGAAAACCAGAAAGGAAGAACATGCTCAGCATTTCTCAACTTGAAAGAACTTAAAAAATTCAAGCCTCTATTGAAAGAGTTGCATTATTGAAAGATTGTATGGGCAAAACATTGACTGATGCAGGAAACATCAAGAGAAGATGTAAGGAATACACAGAGTCACTGTACCAAAGAGAACTGGTCGGTGTTCACCCATTTCAGAAGGTGGCATATGATCAAGAGCCGATGGTACTGAAGGAAGAAGTTGAAGTTGCACCGAAGGAATTGGTGAAAAGCAAGACTCCAGGAATTGGCAGAATATCCATTGAGATGTTTCAGCAAATGGATGCCATGCTGGAGGCATTTACTAAGAAATTTGGAACACAGGTACTTGGCCAACTGACTGGAAAAGATCTATATTTGTACAATTCTAAAGAAAGGTGATCCCACAGAATGTGGAAATTTTCAAACAATATTATAATACCACATGCAAGTAAAATCATGCTGAATATAGTTCAAAAACAGTTGTAACAGTATATTATATTGACAGAACTTCCAGAAATGCAAGCTGGATTCAGAAGGGGATGTGGTGCAAGGGATATTATAGCAAATTTTAGATGGATTTTGGCTCAAAGCAAAGAATACTGGAAAGATAAAACTTGTGTTTTATTGACTGTGTATAGGCATTTGGTTGTGTGGATCACAACAAATTGTGGATAATATTGAGAAGAATGGGAATTCCAGAACACTTAATTGTGCTCATGAGGAAACTGTACATAGACCAGGAGGCTGACATTCAAATAGAATAAAGGGATACTGCATGGTTTATGATCAGGAAGGGTGTGTGTCAGAGTCACCATACTTATTCATTCTGTATGCTGAGCAAATAATCCGAGAAGCTGGACTATATGAAGAAGAACATGGCATCAGGATTAGGGGAATGCTCATTAACAACCTGAGATACGCAGACGATACAACTTTACTTGCTGAAAGTGAGGATGACTTGGAGCGCTTACTGATAAAAATTAAAGACTGCAGTCTGCAGTATGGATTACACCTCAATATAAAGAAAACAAAAATCCTCACAGCTGGATCAATAAGAAGCATCACTATAGATGGAGAAAAGATTGAAGTTGTCAATGACTTCATATTGCTTGGTTCTATCATCAACACCAGTGGAAGCAGCAGTCAGGAAATCAAAAGACCTGTTGATTGGGCAAATATGTTGCAAAAGACCTCTTTCAAGTGCTGAAGAGCAAAGATATCTCCTTGAAGACTAAGATGCGCCTGACCCAAGCCATGGTATTTCCAATCGCCTCATATGCATGTCAGAGCTGGACAATGAATAAGGACGACAGAAGAAGAGTTGATGCTTTTGGATTGTGGTGTTGGCAAAGAATATTGAATGTCCCATGGACTGCTAAAAGAACTAACAAATCTGTCCTGGAAGAAGTGCGGCCAGAATGCTTCTTGGAAGTGAGAATGGCAAGTCTTCGTCTTACCTACTTTGGTCATGTTGTCTGAAGTGACCATTCTGTAGAGAAGGATGTCATGTTTCGTAAAGTGGAGGGTCAGTGGAAAAGGAGATGGCCCTCAACAAGATGTATTGACATGGTGGCTGCAGCGATGGGCCCAGGTATAGTAGGGATTGTGAAGTTGTCACAGGACCAGGCAGTGTTTCGTTCTGCTGTACATAGGGTTGTTATGAGTCGGGGATAACTCGATGGCACTTGACAATAACATTCAAGAGCAAATTTCAGAGTCTCTTCTGAGATCAATTTTGGCCTTTTCTCCTTTCCTGTCTTTTCAATGACCTTTTGCTTTCTTCATGTATCATGTCTTTGATATCATCATCTCATAACTCGTTTGGTTTTCCATCATTGGTGTTCATACATTAAATCTACTTTTCAGATGGTCTTTAAATTTAGATGAGATATACTTTGTATTTAGCCAAAATTAGACTACAGCCATATTGGTTGTTAGAAACACAATTCTGATCCTGCGTGGCCCTCCTTGAAACTTTCCATTTATAACAGGATAATAAAATCTTTGTTCTTCAACTGTGTTTCATCCTTCCAGGTTTATCTTTTCCATTTCCACATGATTGTTCCTCTGAACCATTCTGAACTTTGTGTGTGTGTGTGTGTGTGTGTGTATTCTGTATTTACTCTCTTTCCCTTCTTCCCTTTTGTGTGTCTAGTTTCCACTAATTTTTCAGGTCTTATCTTTGAAACCATGTCTTCTGGGGTTGTTTACTGTGACTTTTAATAATTATGTGAGGACCTCTTGGATCTTTTACTAACAGTGTTCCTATTGAACACTTAAACTTTCATGTGGAGAAGTTACATTATGGAAGATTTTTTGAAGGTTATGGAGTCACTTTATTCAAAAAGTTCAAAGTTTGCTTTTAGATAATGTCAGATCAACGATCACATGTACCTACACCAGCTACTCTTCAGAAGGAAGGTTGGACAATCTACTTCCATAGTGATACTGCCTTGGAAACCCAAGGAAGGGTTCCTATGAGTCAGATATGACTCGATCGCTGTGGGTTTGGTTTACATGACGTTGACTACTTGGATGAATTAGTGATCAGCCAAAGAATTCTCATTGCCTGTCCATGCGCCCAGTTATGTTAAAAACAAACAAGCAAGCAAAAAAAAAAAAAACTCACTGCCATTGATGTGATTCCTCCTCTTAGCAACCCCCTTTGTGTTTCTGAGGTGGTAAATCTTTATGGAGGTAGATTGCCCAGTCTTCCTTCTGCGGAGTTGCTGGTGGGTTTGAACCACCATCCTTCTGGTTAGCAGTCGAATGCCTTAGGCACTAAGCCACCAGAGCTTCTTCCAGTCATGTTAGACACTGGGAAATATATTTAAATGAATACATTGGCATTGTGATTTATACATATAACAATGTTTGTTTGATTTGCGTGAGTTAGAAGCTATTCTCCTGTGGATAGAACTAAGTCAGGTTTTTAACTCATAATGCATATTGAGGTCTAAATTCTGTTACTTAGAGAACTTAATTACTTTATACTAGATATAGTATGTGATGATTATTCTAAGGTGAGGCAAGATGTGTGACCCTTACATCCTCTTTCCCTCTCTTTCCTCCTCATTCCCTCTCTTTCCTCTCCAAGTACATCTGGTTGGATTTATATAAATTAATACACTTACTATGCTATTTCACAGTATAATAATCTGGTGTTTATGATATGGGAGCTCTGGTGGCATAGTGACTAAGAACCCACCAGCCACTCCTTGAAAGGAAGATTGGGCAGTCTACTTCTGTAGTGATACCACCTTGGAAACCCAAGGAGGGGTTGCTGTGTGTTGGATCTGACTCAATTCTGAGTAAATCTCAGTAAATCCCAGCTATTTCTACTCATAAGAGTTGTTATTCTCAGAGGTCTTGATTGTGGGGTATTGGGATTTTGTGGCATTTCTGAGTTTTTTTGGCCAGGAGGATCTGTTGACTTTACTTCTTACAAATCAAGATTCATTGATTTTTTGTGTGCAGAAAAGAAAAATTATTGAATTAATATGTAATATGTCATGGGTGACTTTGGCATTGTACATGAACAAAAGGAAGATGATAACATACTTTCTTTCCTTATTTACAGAAAAATGTGAAATAGGAGTTTTGGCTACTACCTAACTGCTGATTTGCTTTAATAAATCATTAATATTTTAAAATGTTAAGAAATATTAGAAATATCCACTTGTTTAGGGTGTATAAAGAATTTTTTGTTTACATGTATCCATTTTAGCAAGCTTTATGCCTTGTGTAAAAGTTTTGTATCTTATTCAATATTTTATTCTCAGTTTCTCAATATACTTGTCATATAGAATGTAAATACTGATTAAATTAAATAATTCATTATGTAATGAACCATGGTAATAATCTTATATGTTGATTCCCAGAACATTTATATCTGGTATTCATTCAGCATTTCAGTATTTGAGAGAAAAGGAACAAGGGTGATCATGGGGGAGTAAAAATGATTTGAAAGTATTAGTTTTTGGGGGGTGACTTTTTATTTTAGATATTAGTATTTAGTAAGTAATGAATTCCAAAAATGTATTTTATATTTTAAAACAGACATAATTTTTCTTGTTATTCAATATCCAAAACAAAAACAAACTCACTGCCATCAAGTTGGATCCGATTCACAGCATCCCCTCCTTGGGTTTCTGAGGTAGTATCACTGTAAGTAGTTTGCCCAGTCTTCCAAGGAGTGGCTGGTGGGTTTGAACCACCAGCCTTCTGGTTAGCAGTCAAATGCCTTAGGCACTATGCCACCAGAGCTCCTTAAATATATAACCTTTTAAAAGTAATAAAAATGTAGCATTTGGGGATAGGCAAACAGATATTAAAACTAAATTTTAAAAAATCAGTTCTTCAGGTGCTGGGAATGTAGCAGATCGTATTTTGGCTCAACTCTTAACAGAAATGGATGGGATTGAACAGCTAAAAGATGTGACCATTTTGGCAGCTACTAACCGTCCAGATAGGATAGACAAGGTAAGAAAGAAAATATCTTGTGACACTTGAGCGTTTCGTTTGATTTTGTCAGGGTTCTTTGTTTTTTTATTTTTTTTGTCAATTTACTTTCTAGTCAAGTTTTTCACAGAACATGCTGAAAAGTCTTAAGCGAAAGGAAGAGAAAAGCACAAAGAAAACACTTTACCTTTGTGTTTATTTACTTATGGTTCCGTATTAATGAAACTATTTTGTAACTGTCAATATCCCTTCCTCCACTGCTACATCAAGCTTTCAGTATAGTTTTCTAGAGAATTGAAATTCTGAGATTTTTTTCATTTTTTATTTTCTTGATAAGTTTTTGACAATTTCATCCAGATTATTAGGGTAAATTTATGGTTGTTTAGTATTAGTGACACTCAGGTTATTAGAAGTCACAGCCTAATAGTTGCTTTCAAAGTAATTCGAATAGTTGTGACAGTGAGTTCTATTTTAAACGAAGTTACTTTGGCTCTGACATTACATGAAGTTGTATAGGTGAAAAATTGACTATTTCAAGTTATTGCTACTGTTTTTTCCCAGGTCATAGTGTAATAAAGGAGCACACTAATTTAAAAGTACTTAATTTATACTGATTATATAGTTTTTATTCACCCATATTTATACTGAGAATAAAAATTTACTCCTAGAGCATATAACAATTTGTCTTTTTTTTGTTAGCATTATTACTTTATATGGATGACCTTATGAACCTCCCCTCATGCATGTGTACAAGTTTTAAAACTGAGAGTTTAAAAAATGAGATTTTAAAAGCTATTGAGGGAGCTTTTATGTGGGAAGAAAGCCTTGCTTTAGTTCATATACATATATTGATAATATGATAAAGACCTTTTAGTCAAATGCAGGTATGAAAGCTTTGGATTTTAGAGGATCCTTTCCTTTCTGATACAGTACTTTGTAAGAAACTAGGTGAGTTTTGAACATTTATAGGATCTGGGTCAATGCCAAAGTATCTCTGAAGTCCATTAAAAAAAAAAAAGGACTGATTGTTATTCAGAAGTGTAGAACATGCTGAAAGAGTATGTTATTATTTCACAATTTAAGGTATTAAAGTCAGAAAAACCTTTGTTCTGGTAAGAATACATTGTATTTTTAATGCCATTTATTTCCTAGTTACTCCATGACTGATGAGCTCTAAAATTTCTTAGGTTTTCTTTGTACAAGTCCTAATCTTATGGCCATTTTTGATTTCCTAATGTTGTATGTCCTCAGTGTTAGCCATATATTTTGAAGCACGATTTCAGGACTTCTCTGGACTCGTATAAATAAAACTAATTAACGTAGCCTAGTATTACTTTTTTACTGATGTTAACAAATTGGCACTACTTTAACAGTTTAACATAGCACCCAGTTATTAGCTTACAGTCCTGTAAGTCAGAATCTGGTACCATGTGACTGGTTTTTCTGCTGAAGATCTCATAAAAAGCAAAAAACATGGTATCAGTTGTACTACGTTCTCATTAGGAGTTCATATTCCTCTTCTAAGGTTACTTAGTTGTGACAGAATTCACTTTTTTGTGGTTGTGGGATTGAGGCCCCTGTTTCCTTACTGGCTATCATCTGGAAACCACTGTCAGTTTTTAGGGGCTACACACATTCTTTGTCATGTGACCCTTCTGTCTTCAAAGACAGCAGTGGAGACTCTCCATCATATTTTATCCTTCTCATAATTCAAATTCTCTTCACCAAGAACACTTCTTGGCAATAAATAAATAACTCACCATCAAGCTGATTCTGACTTGTGGTGACCGCATGTGTAAGAGAATAGAACTGTTCATAGGGTTTACTTGACTATATTCTTTATGGAAGCAGATCACAAGGTCTTTGTTCCATGGTGCTACCAGGTGGGGTCTGAACCACCACCCTTTCAATTAGTAGATGAATACAAACTGTTTGTGCCACCTTGGGACTTTTTAGTAAAAGTCCCTTTTAAAGGCTCACCTGATCAGGCTGGGTCCACTAAGGAAAAGCTCCCCATCTGATCAGCTAATTCAGAACTTTACTCTCTGCAAAAGTCTTTCACAGCAGCACATAGATTAGTGTTCGATTGAGTAACTGGGAGAATTTATATCCAAAAGGGGTAGAAATTTGGGGGCTATCTTAGAATTCTGCTGACTACAGTGGGTCTTTAGCCTGTTTCCCCCACCCTTATCTGAATTTCGTTCTGAGAACATAGAACAAACTTTGCCTGTCTGTGACTGGATATAGTCAGCTCCTTTGAAATGTCCCTACTCTGAGGAATCTGACTTTCCTCAGATGAAGCATTTCTCTCCCTTCCCTTGCCCAAATATTTATTTCTTCTAATACATAATCTCTATTAAGGTAGAAAAGAATAAATGAATTCAAACTTATTTTTCAGAGGTTACATTTTTTTTCCCCACATACTTTATATACAAACACTTTGTAAGCTGGCTATTCGATAACAGCAGAATTGTTGATATATAAATCTCTTTTGCTGGCAACTATACATACAGACCTCATGGACAAAATATATGGGAATCAAATAATTTACGTCTGTGAAAGAGATTGTGGAGAAGCTCAGTACCATCAGTTAGAAAAAAACATGTCTGACTGTGGAACAGATTATCAATTGCTGATATGCAACTTTAAGTTGAAGCTGAAAAAATTAAAACAAGTCCACAAGAGTCAAAGTACAATTTTGAGTATATCCCTCCTAAATTTGGAGACCATCTGAAGAATAGATTTGATACATTGAACACCAGTGACCAAAGACCAGATGAGTTGTGGGATTACATCAAGGATGTCATATATGAAGAAACCGAAAGGTCATTAAAAAGAGAGGAAAGAAAGAAAATACCAAAATGAATGTCAGAAGAGATTCTGAAATTTGCTCTTGAAAGGAGAGTACCTAAAGTGAATGGAAGAAATGTTGAAATAAAGAGCTGAACAGAATATTGCAGAGGGCAGCTTGAAAAGACAGAATAAAGCATTATCATGAAATGTGCAAAGACTTGGAATTAGAAGATCAAAAGGGAAGAACACGTTTGGCATTTCTCAAGCTGAAAGAACTGAAGAAAAAAATTCAAGCCTTGAGTTGCAATGTTGAAGGATTTTATGTTTATTGTTGAAAATATTCAACAATGCAGGAAGCATTGTTTTTCAAAAGAAAATGGAAGGAATACACAGGACTCACTGTTCCAAAAGAAATGGTCTACTTTCAGCCATTTCAGGACATAGCATATGATCACGTGGTACTGAAGGAAGAAATTGAAGCTGCCCTGAAGGAATTGGTGAAAAACAAAGCTCCAGGAATTAATGGAATTGCCATTGAGATGTTTCAGCAAACAGATGCAGCACTGGAGGCACTTACTCATTTATCGAAAATAATTTGGAAGATAGCTACCTGGCCAGCTGACTGGAAGAGATCCATATTTTGCCCTTTCCAAAGAAAAATGATCCAACAGAATGTGGCGATTATTGAGTAATATTATTAATATCACATGCAAGTAAAATTTTGGTGAAGATAATTCACACATGCTTGCAACAGTATATTGACACGGAATTTTCCAAAAATTCGTAGCACGACAAACTGACAGAGACGAGTGGTGGTATGAATGATTATAGAGCTTTATTTGTGTATTGTTTCATTTGTTATTGTTGTTGTTATATGCCTTTGAGTCTGACCCGACTCATAGCGACCCCCCTTGGGTTTCCAAGGCAGTATCACTACGGAAGTAGATTGCCCCATCTTCCTTCCGAGGAGTGGCTGGTGGGTTTGAACCAGGAGCCTTCTGGTTAGCAGTCAAGTGCCTTAGGCACCATGCTGCCAAAGCTCCCATTGTTTACTAGTGCTATAAAAAAATTTTTAACATGTGTAATTAGAACATGATGTTTAAAATGTTCCCTGAATATGCTGGTAGAAACAAAACAGTTTTAAAAGACAATGAAAAAACTTCATGTTATGAAATGAAAAGACACAATTTTCACTACCTGTGTTGTCTGTGGCAAACTGTAGTAGGAAAATAATAGGAAACAAAAGAGTTGCAGTAAATTTCATGAGCTGATGCCAAAACATAAAGATTTTTTATTTTAGCCTACATCCAAAAAAATGAAAAAGGACTAGTCTCAAAGAAATACATATTTAATCCAGTTTTGCCTACATTTAACCATTTGTTTGGCCTTGAAAATTAGCTAGCATACTTTATATTTCTATTGTCTGTAAATCCACAACTTGCATGTCTAAAATTTAAGTGTGAAAAATTGGTAAGTTAGAATAGGGAGAATTCTTGCACCATCAAAGGAGTAAAATTGATGTCATACTGCTACTCGTATTGTGTACATGTTTAGTGTATTCATTTTGACAACATTTCAGTTTCATCTGGTTTACAGAGACTAAAACGGGACTTTCTTGGAAATTCTGGATTGAACAAAGGAAATGAGACACACAGTTCAAGAATCACATTATTCTACTTCCTGCTATGTCACATTTACGTGTCAGACACATTAGCTGTGATGTAGCACACTAAGCTGAGTGAAGTGATTGTTTATGGTTCAAGTATCCTGAAGTCTCCATAGGACCTTTACTCCTCCAGCTTATAGATGAATGAAGAGAATTTATATCTTCAAGTGCCCAGTATACATAAGAATGACAACATATGACAGGGCAGGTGAAGATTAATGAGATTGTGTAATGTCATGTAGATACAATATCTTTAGATTGATGATGGTCTGCATTTCCACAGCATCAGGAGACATTTGAACAGCAAGCAACTAAATTATTACTGATGTCCACATAATAATGGAATGCTAAAGCTCTTGGGAGGAGTTCTGGTAGCATAGTGGCTAAGGCACTTGACTGCTAACCAGAAGGCTGGCGGTTCAAATCCACCAGCCACTCCTCTGAAGGAAGATGAGGCAATCTACTTCCGTAGTGATACTGCCTCGGAAACCCAAGGAGGGGTCGCTATGAGTCGGGTTCAACTCAACGGCACATAACAACAACAACAGCAAAGCTCTTGGAG